AAAAGAGAAGGGAACAAGGGAATGGGAAGAACTTGGTTTTACAAGCTCCTTTGCCACCATTTTTCTCCCTTTTGAGGAAAATCTGTGTGGGTTCTGCCATTTGGTGACCAGCAGGTGAGAGCAAGGACTAACCACTGATGGCTGCAGGTAAATCTCTGCCTGCTTCTTGAACTGAGAGAAATCTGCTGTGAAAAAAGGGATGATCTTGATACAGGCCAGCAAGGCTGGAAAAAAAAGTGGCTATGTAGACGTTTCTAGTAAAAAAACCAACTTTATAATCCACAGAAGGAGAGCATTTATTGAAAATTAAGCAGATTTTTAATTGCCTGCGTGCACTGAGCTTCGTTTTTTGCCAGCACTTGTGGATATTGAGGATGATGGATGTGGCTGTGCTTGTTTAGGGAATAGGAGGTGATGCTCAGAAGTTGATAATGACACCAAACTTGGATAGCATGGACCTCACTGTGATCAGGAGGTAGAACTGCCTTTGGAATTGTTCACAGTGATACTGACTTGTGCAGGAAACAGTGTGGAAACCTGAGTCAAGGCTGTTTTCTGTGCTCCTGGTACATAATAAAGTGTATTATGGCTAAATCAGCTAAAGGAAATCATGTTCCCAGCTCTTTGTTAACATGTAGAGCTTGCTGCTGTCAAACGTGAAAGGCTTAAGTGCAGCTGAATAGCAAGAAAAATCAGAATTTTTTCATGGGGAATACAGAGAATAAGAGCTGTGGTTCCAGTTTCTCTGTGCACCCCTGCCTGCCTCTGCTCCCCCGGTGATGGAGGTGACCCAGGGTGCTGCCAAATCCGTGCCTTCACCTCTTCCAGGGAGCTGAGCGTTGTCAATCCTTCCATTCCTTTTCCGATCCAGGATTCAGTGGATGCTTTTCGGAGCCCGGCATGGGCGGAGTAGCAAGGAAGCAAATTTTTCCACCCTGCCTGAGCTTGGGCAAGCAGAAATTGTGCCTTGGAAGCCATATAAGGCCAGCAAGCCGGCTCTGCATGGGCTCACCTTGCTGGGATGCTGGGGCAGGGAGCAGCCCTCGCTCCCAGGGAGACTTTCAGGGCCTTTGAAGTGTTCCCTGTGCGTCTGTCACTTGCCAAAGGGATGGTGTGGCCACCCTGATTAGGTGGCACAAGCTCATTAACTCCCTGACTTTTGTGGGGCTCCAGCACCCGGCCCCAAACGGAGGCGGAAATTCGTGATTCAGAACGAAACTGCTGTAAAATGACGGAGCTGGGAAGGTCGGAGTCTCTGTCCCAGGGTGTCTTCATTTCCCTCAGCAGTGTCTGAGGCACATTCTGCTGACTGCAGACAGTGCTGAGCAGGACTTTGCTCTGAAACGAGAGTTCCTGTGGCATTAAAATAGATTTTTTGAAAAGCCTGGCAGCACCTGTTCCCCCTTCCAGGGATGTTCTGCCCTCAGAGCTGCCGGAGCCCCAATCGTGACCTCTGCTTCTGCTTCTCACAGAATTAAGAACAACTTCTGCTCCCATAAATAGTCCCTTAAGAAGTGCGTAGGAGCTCTGTGACCAATTTCTTTTGAAAAGTGCTTTCAGTGACACCCGTGGCTGTGACCTTGCTCCGTGTTCCCACCCCGTGTCCTTGCAGGGCAGCTGTGTTTTGATGGGAGCCTGGTGGTCCTGGCCACAAGCTCTGCTTCCTTCTCTCACGTTTAATCAGAACTCAAAGGAACTTTTGGGTTATCTGTGTGTTTTTTGGGAAGTTGTGCTGCTTTTCCTGCTGTAAATCCCAAATGCTTCCTTCCTCCTTGAGGTTCTCATTCCCTAATGCCGCAGAGGTGGCTAAGGGACAGTGTCTGAAAGCTCCTGTGTTCCTGCCACATGTCACAGCTCCCAATCCTTGTTTTTATTCCAGAAATGAAGTGTGGTTTTCCAGAGGGGGATGATGCAGCCGTGCAGCTGCATTGTCACAAACCAGTTCTCCCAGCATGGACTCTCGGAGCTGCTGGGGAGTCCCAAAAACACCCAGCTCAGGAAACGGCTTGGTGTTTAATCTTTGCAAAGGTGGAAGTGGGAAGAGGGAGGCAGTAATGGATAAAGTAAAACATATTTAACCTTTAGGGACGTACATGGGATATCTTGGGTCTGTTTGGAACAGGCACCGGGCTTGACGTGGAGCGTGGTGATGATTAAAACCAACAGCAAACATTTTTCTGCTCGTGAATTACGGACTTTGTTCTTAATGCATTAAAATCTAGAACACTTTGGGGTTTCTTAACGTGAAGGGGGAGAAGGAATAGATTTATTACCTGGAAGGTTTGATGTTATAGTTCCAGGCATGTTTCCACAATCTTCCTGCAACCATTTGGATCTGTACCTAATGTGGGTGCTGCCTGCATTGGGCTGCAAGTTTGAGCTCTCTCATACAATTAAGGCCATTTAACTCCATCTAAAAGACCTTTTACTTGTCATTAAGACTAAATTTACTGACGCTGACAGCAGGAAGAAATGAATTTACCCTAACTCAGATGGGCTAAGAGAGCAAAACGTTCCAGCTAACTATGACTTGCCTGGATTGTTAAATTTAGACCAAAAATTCTGGTCAGACAATTAAGTGCCGGCTCAGTGGCCACACCACTTCTTTTGCATGTGTGAATTGGCTGAGCTGCCTCTTGTCAGGCAAGAGAGATTCTCTGTCTGAATGTCTGAATTCTCTGGGGGTTTTTGGGCTCAGACCTGGTGAGTCTTTTCATGGCACTGTGGTCTCTCTCTGTTTAGTCAGCAGCCCTGGTATGTTTTTCCTCTTCTTATCTGAAAATTTTTCATGTTTATTTTTGGAATTCGTTGTAACCTGAACTTTCTCAGGTGTCCTTGCGGAGAGCAAAGAAACATCTGACTTATTTTTTAGGTAGATTTTTGCCAGTTGAGAAGAGTGTGTTCTTTCTTTTACTGTTTGTCGCTTTATTTTTGGAGCAGGTTTGTTACTGAGCAGCCTGGCAGTGCAAATACAGAGGCAGCTGAAACAGTGCAGGTTCTGTGCTTCATGCTGGAGTAAAGGCAGCACCTAATTTAACTTCTTCAGGCAACTGCCTTCACTTTTCTCCTGCAGAAAGCATCCCTGGAAGCTGGAGGAGGCTGTTAGCAGAGGGTATGTAATACAAGGTTCTGTCATGGTAGGAAATATAGAGAGGATCTCTTGCTCTCAGTATTTTCAGCTGTTTTTTTCTTGGGCATCTTCCCTCGGTGATAGGAAGAAAACTGGAATATTTGAGTGCTTTATTCCTTTCTCCCCTATGGAGATGGTAAATTTGGGTGGACATCCCTGCTGAATTCCAAGTGTCTGTCAGGTTGTGTTCCCACTCTCCTCGTTGGCATTGGAGCCAATGTTTGCCTGGAGGCCAAAAGAATCCGTGTCTGAGCATCTTGCTTTAGCTTTTGAGGTTGGTCTGGCTCGTGGGGTGTTGCTGGTTGGATTTCCCTGGGATTCCTTCAGCATCCAGGCTCTGAGTTTGGTTTGTGGCAGCCTCGTCTGTGCCTCCGTGAGGAACATCTGATCATCTTCAGCAGAACTTTCTCAGACTGGTAATTATGCTTCCCTCTCTGAGTGTCAATAGGATATAGCTGGGCACAAGGAAAAAAAAAAAATAAAGGACTGGTCCAGACTTGTTTTTCTGGGCTCAGCAGTGTGAGGTGAGATTTGTTCCGGGATGGTTGAACGGGTTCGTCAATCTGATCTCTCAATTGTCTTTCTATATTTTTCTCTTGCAAGAAAAGGAGTAAAGCCCTGTGGAAGATAAGGATCGTTCTGATGTTTCAGCAGCTCATTTAAGCCACCTTATGAGCACATAGGCAAGTGAATCAGCCCTGGTGTCTTAATATGTCCTAAAATAAATTAGACTTTCGTAAGCAAATTCGGTGGGTTTGAACTGCTGTATTTTCATTAAAAGATTGCAGTGGAGAAAACGCTCTTTAAAATTCAGCCTGGGGGTTGTGTTGTTCATTAACTGATAGTCACTCCTGTTTACCTTGTGTGATAAGTCCCACGTTAAGAATGGCCAGCAGTGCTGATGCCGTCACAGCTGCCCTTCAGAGAGAATTGCTTTTATTTTTTTTTTTTATGGCTCTTTTTACTGACAGGTGGGCGTTTTTTTGGAACTCAAATAAATGCAAACAGCCACGATGTACCTCTCGTAATCATGGAAAACCACTTGTTTGGTGGTTTGTTGTTTTTTTGGTTTTTTTATTTTTAAATTCCCTCCTGTCCTTAGCAGCTTGGTAACGCCGTTGTTGGTACAAAGGTCATTTAAAAATCTGACATGTCAGCCCAGCAACATACTGCTCCTTAATGAGGCTTAAAAGCAGCGTGGAGCTGCCTGGTGGAAATAAATTTGGAGCTGCAGAATAGAGGGAGACATGTGAACAGCTTACTGGGATGGGATCACCTGGCTTTCCTTGCAGCAGCCCCTCCTCCCCGGATCTCTCAGAAGGGTACTTGCAGTTCTCTTGCATAAAGGGGTTTAATTTTTCCTCTTGTTATTCAAATGAGCCCAGGTGTTTGACAGCACGTTTGTGTTCTCAGAAGAAAAAGCAACGAAAATATCTCCTGAAAATCCAGGCAAGGGTGGTTTTAAAACGATTCCTTCCCGTGTTTGAGGTTTTCTCTCCTCCTCACCTTGGCCTCCTGAGGAGGTCCTGCAACACCTCTGACTTCATCCCCACCTGGCTAAAGCCCTCCTGTCCCTCCTGCTCCCCAGGATGTCACTTGAACCCAAGCTCTTGAAGCTCCCAGTTCTCCCTGACGCTCCCTCAGTCCTTTGAATGTCTGAAGGTCTGAAGGCTTTTCCTCTAATCCTGTTCCCCAGCACTACTGGAATTTCAGCACCTTCAGCCTCGCCTCAGTCTTTTCGGCTCTTTGACTGTTCTCCAGTGAAAAACTAGGTCAGAAACAACCGTCAGCTTCTGATATTTCACTATTCCTGTTTTATAAGTTGTAACCCAGTGTCGCTGTGTTTAATCGCTCGCTTTAATTTTCGCGTATGAAGCGCCTGAGCTCGCTCTGCGTGAGCAGCCTGACACAAACTGCTCCAGATAACATCGTGCCTGGAAAAGCCATGTTACCTTGATTGGGGCTGAAAAGGTGAATTCTCTTTTTTTTTGTTACATACAACGCTGGGGATGCCATACTGACAGATTTTTCCATCAGTTTTCTCTTAAGTGTACATTTTTTGGTAGTTTTGGAGCTGTAATTAGCCAGCTTCTTTTTGTGCCTGGGTGGCTTTTTTAACCTGATGGGTGAAAGAAAAATAGCTTAAAAACAATAATAATAGTTGGAAACCCACAGGTTGGCGAGGAACACAGCAATGCAGGTATATTGGAAGGCATTTAAGAGATTTATTTTTAACTGAGTTGTAGCTGACTGGACCCATTCAGCATTTTTATAAAACTATTCTTGGAATGGTGCTTGAAGTCTGAGCTGAGGTGCCTCAGTGTTCAGTGAAATCCACCTGGTGTAATTCAAGAGTATCCTTCTTCCTTTCTGTTAGGCAGACTTGGAGCCAGCCAGTGTTGGAATACTTGGGCATTCCAGCATAAATGGGATTTAAATGAATCCTTACTTTTCAGTCTGACTTAAAGGTTGTGGTTTTAAAATTCTGCCTGAGCTGTTGTCTCTGAAAAGTGGTTTTTTTCCAGGTTGTTTATTAGGCTGTCCTTAATACACTTTAATTTTCTTCTTTCATGTGTCTCCTGCTGCTCTGTGGTTGTTTTCAAGGATCCCAATCCGGGCACAGGGTGGGATTGTTGGGGTGTCTGTGCAGGGCCAGGAGCTGGGCTTTGATATTCCTGGTGAGGAATCCTTTCCAACTCAGGGTGTTCAGTGATTTTCCTGGGATTTGAGGATCCCTGGTTTGCAGGTACCAGTGTGATCCAGCTCTTGCTTTCCATCTGGGAAACATTACCTGTGTTTGACAGGTGGGGGAGTTTACAGCAGGGCTGAAATTCTTTATTTAAGGAAAACTTCTGGAGGGGCCAGTGGAGCAAATCCCAGCCCTAAATGTGGTTCTGTAGTCACTTCCCATCTCTTGTGTGGCCGTCAGCCTCGGATGGAGGAGCTTGGGTGTCTTCATCAGTTCTGGAAGCTTTATTTATCCATGATGGGGATGAGGGGGAGTTAAGATGTGCTATCGTGACACACTTTTCTGTATTAATTTGGGAAACATTTTCTTCTGGCAGTTGGGGGTTTTTGTACAGTGCAAAAAGCAAAATACTTGTAGTAGATAGATTTGATACAGCTGGTCCTGGAAAAGCTTTTATTTGATCCTCTGAACACACAAAACTGTGTTGCTGCATTGCTTCAGAAAGGCTAAAATCAGGGAAAAGTGTCTTCTCCAAGAGAGACAGCAGCGAGCCAAGTGATTTCCATGATGGAAATTTGTTCTTCTTGTAATTTCCACAAGGTTTTTGGCATTGTTGCAGAGGTGGCCACATCTCCAGCACCTCAAAATCAGCAGACTTCCCTCTTCTGCCAGAGGAAGCACAGAGGGCTTCATTCAAGGTGTCTTGTTCAACAGGAATGACTCTTAAAATATTAATCTGAGAACATCTAAACCCATGAATTCTTGGCTCATAACGAGTGAATCCTCCAGGGAAAAGCAGCACTGCTGGTCACCTTTAGCAGAGTTGGGAATTTTGGGTGATTCAATTTCCTTCTGCCCGTTTTCTTGTTGTGCTGTTGTTTTTTTCCCCTCGGTCCTTTCCCAATTTAACAGGATCATCTGATAACTCCAATAAAATGCTGCTGCAAAAACAAGCAGTGTTACATGCAGGAGATGATTACCCAGGGAATTTTGGGCATGGATGTCTTAATGGGATCCTTGCCAGGCTGAGGGCTCTCTGAATTGTCTTGCAATGCAAATGTGTGCAGATACTGCTGGACTTCTCTTAGAGAAATATTTAATATTCTATTTAAAGGAATACTTGATATTGTATTTAATAGTGTTAGTATTTCCAGTATAGGGAGGCAGAACAGGAAACTTCATTCTGCAATAATGTTTTTTGTTGAAAAATTTTGCTTCAAAGCAAGTCCACGTGTTTGAAAAACAAATCTGAGGGTTTGCTTTCCTTTGCCTGCACTTTAGAAATACCAATATTTACCTTCCTTTTTTCCTACCCTGTCTTTAATTTACTGTAACTACTCAAAGCCAGGCAGTGCTGCTCTGCAAGAGAGGGACAGACTCAGGCCATATGAGCTTAAATTCAAATTTAATTTTACTTCATCCACTTTGCTCTCCCTTTATAAGCAACCTTCCCTAGATTAGCTGCTTTTAAAAAGGAGTGAGCATTGGGATTTGTTAGTTTAACTCTTCCTCATATTAGTTGCAAGTCATAAAACAATAAGATTTATTTCTAGGTTTGTACTTGATTTTTTTTTTCTTATTTTTCGTTTGTGCAATGTATTTGCCAGCACAGCATTATCTTTGGAGGAGAGCTTTGGGAAATGTTGTTGCAACTTGTTTTATGCTTTCTCACTTTTACCTTTTATTGCTTTTAGTCGGAGTTTAGAGGAGAGAAATCCCTTCAGGAAAAAGGGTGATAAAAAGAAGAGTTAGTGCAGAATTTTGCTGATTCCTGGTGTGCTTGCGGAAAAGGGAAAGGGATCCTTGAACCTCTGTCTCAGAACAGGAGAACAGGACAAGACTGAAATAAAGGTAAAGGTGTTTGAATGGACAGTTTTGACTCAAGAATGCAAGACTGAGTAATGAAATTAAAATAGCTTTGAGGGCTGCTGACTCTCAGTGTCAGGGAGGGTCTGGAACACCCTTCTGGAGCGAGTAACGGATGCAGAAAATTCACTCACACAAAATGAAACTTCCTTTTCAGGGAGATGCAGTAATTGTATCAAAACTGGGTTTTTCTTTACTTGCAGGAAGGAAACTCCTGGGTTATTACACTAAAAAATGTGTAGCGTGTTCTGTGACTTAGTAATTCTTTCATTATAGACATTTTTAATTGATTTTTGACTGCTTTGATCAGTTCTAAACACTGGAAGCCGCACAGGGATGCAAAGGAGCTTTTTTTCCTTCCAAAAGCCTTTCCAAGTCGTGGGAGTTGGCTCCTGGTCCTCTGACAAAGCCTCCCTGAGCAGCCCCATCTTGTTAATAGTGGGATTGGTGGGAGTTTGTCATGATTAAACTGCAGATAATCATCATTACAGCCCTTGTGGCAGCCTGGTGATGAGACTTTATGATTATTGCTCTCCTTAATGAGCAGGTCTGCCTTAACTCTGCGGAAAAGCAGAGAGGGAAAACATCAAGTTAAAAAAAGGAGAATTGACCCGTTGGGAAACGTGCCCAGAGTCTCCCAAGTTGGATTCCCACAGGAGACCAACTCCTGCCTCTGTTGCTGAGATCTGGAGCCGTGGCTGAGTTAATTGGGAGCCACAAACCCACTTGGATCTTTTCCTCTTTTCTTGCCATCCACCTTCCCCCCCATGAGCTCGCACCGCTCTGGTTTTGGGGTGGGTTTGAAGCCCTCTTGTTTTTGGGGCTGGAGTCCCCTCTGGTTTTGGGGTGGTTTTCCTCTGTTTTCCATCTTCAGCCAGCAGTGAAGCTGGGTGTGCAGGGAGCAGCAATAAATCCAGTGACTGATGGGCCATTCCAAAGGGTGCTGATGTTTAGAATTAAAAGTGTTGTAGCTCTCCAAATGAACCTTTATCTTGTCCTCCTGCAGTTTCTCTCCCCATGCCCTGGCAGGGGAGCCTTTCCCTGCAGACAGGTGGATTTAACTCTTCAGTGTCCTCTGGAAGTGCCCACTCTGCATAAACAAAACTGGAATATTCTTTGGGGACAGAGCATTTCCTCCTTGCAGCCATTTCAGCCCCCTCTGTGTGCTGATATTTACCACAGAGCAAATCCCCGTCCATCTCCGTGCTCCTGGAAGAGTTCCTCACTTCTTGTACCTGCACTGCCATAGAAATTTGGGAGGAGGGATTGCAGGAAGGCGTTTGGTGGTTCCTGCTCTTGGGAAGGGCCCAGCCCAGTGGATGGAGCTGCTCTGTTTGCCAGAGCCAAGCTCTGCTCCAGCCAAACAAAGTCTCCTGCTCCACACTGGGCTGAGTAAACTCCATACCAATTCACAATACTTTAATTATTTCTCCAAGGATTTGAGTCTCCTTTTAATTTTCTTCCTGAAAGGCATTGCCTAAATTGCCTCTGTGCCCAGCTTCCCTTCCTACTGAAAAACTACTGCACCCTGTGCTGGCCAAACATCCTGGATTGATGCTTGGGAGTGATGCAGTTTTTTCAGGATTTTTTTGGGATGTTTGGGGAGCTGGAGCTCCCTTCCCAATCCCACCTTTCCCAAGGTTTGTGCTGTGGTGCTGAGGATGACCAGAGGATCAGACTGTGTCGGAGCTTTCTGTTCTTCGGGAGTTTAAAGCTTTATTTTTGCAAATACAGAAAAATCATCATTTAATGCTGTGCTGGGAAGCAAAGATTCCTTTGAAGCACTGGAGAATTTTACTTGGAGTTACCAAATTGAAACAAAAAAGTTGTGCTAGGCTTGAGCAACCTGGGGTAGTGGCGGTGTCCCTGCCCATGGCTGGGGGTGGAACTGGGTGGGATTTAAGGTCCCTTCCTACCCAAACTATTCTGTTATTCCATGAAAAAAACAGTGGGAATCTGGCAAAAATCACTGAGGCTGGAGAGCCTCCACCTCCATCCCTTATCCTGAATTTTTGGGATGTGTGTTTGGGTTCATGTATCCTAATTCCCACTCCATCTCCTTCCCCAAATTCCTGACTAAAGGAGCTCGGGAGCTGCAGGGACAGGGGAGCCTCGCCCATGCACAGCTCTGTTGGTTCAGTTTGAGTCCCCAACTAAATTCTAATTCCAACACAGCAGGGACCCAACAAACACACTGCATTTTATTCAGGAGGAGCTTTTTAATGTGGATTAGGCGAGATCAGAAGCTCCAGGCATGCGAGAGAGAGAGAACAGGCTGCACGGCTGGCTCAGCTCTCGTGCCTGTGGGGTGACATCTTGATGACAGTGGAGTTTTAATTGCTCTCTGCTTTGCTGATACAGGCTATTGTCCATTTAGGGCCTGGCTTTCTGCTGTACAGGGCAGGACAAAGCATTAACATTAGGCTACAGTTTGGTTTTTTAACTTCATCATGTGTCTTACTCTCTAAACTTTACACAAAGGTGGAGTTTTTCTGCATTTCGAGTGGGGCTGTAGCTGAGCTGCTCAGTGTGTAGTGATGTCAAAGCCTGCTGGTGATGTTTCCTGGTAAAATTGGTAATTTTGTTAGAATGGTGAAATTCTGTAACTCTGAGGAGCTGGGAATGGTGAAATTCTGTAATTTTGGAGCCGGGAATGGTGAATGCAATTCTGTAATTTTGGAGCTGGGAATGGTGAATGAAATTCTGTAACTTTAAAGAGCTGGGAATGGTAAATTTCTTCAACATAACCATAAATTTCAGTAAATCAAGCTGAGGGGTTTTTTTTGAGCTGACGCTTTAAACTCCTTTATTATCTATCTTCTAGAAACACACTCGATTTTTAACCCTGGAAAATTAAACCACTGAGGAAGCAACATTTGTGCTGTAACAGCCCACTTGAAATGATGCAATTATAACCAAAGAAGCCAATGTGCCTTTTGCAGTTCAGCAATTAAAAACTTTCAAATGTACAGCGTAGCATTTTGGCTGACATAAAAGCTTTTGAGCATTTTATTGCTGCTTGTACTTCTGGGCAGGATTCGTAGGTGCTTTAATGTTATGGTGATAATGTGTCCATTAATGCCTATTAAGCAAATGATAAATGATAATAAATACAAACTACAGTTCAGAGTAATTGGTGAGAGTCCAGCTCTTAAACCTTCATCAAAAGTAGTTTTTTTAATAATTATTTGTGTTAAAAGCTCGAGTGTTCATTTCTGCCCAAAATAAATTATTTTAAATGTTGGGGAAAGGAAAATGGGAGGGGTGAGGGGTCTGTGACAGCACTGGATCATCAAGGTGATAAATGGGATTATTTTGGAGAGGAGGAGTGAGCAGAGGTGTCCATGGGATAATTTTGGGATTGCTGCCTGAGGAGCTCCTGTCACACCCTGCTCTGCTCCTGGGGGTTTGCACCATCCCATCAGCATCCCTGGAAGGATGTGGGTGAATCCTGAATCCTCCAGCAGCATCCCCATGGCTCACCTGGGCAGCTGGCACCTCTTTGAGTGGAAAGCCTCAAATAGTGGTGGATTTACATGGGCTTTCCAAGGCTCTTTCCATGAGAATGTTGGATTTGAATAGCAAAGCTGTAATTTTCGAGTTGCAGCAGACTCCATCCCATCTGTGCTCAACTTCAAACGGGATCCTTGGGAGGCCTCAAATTGCAGATGGAAATTGTGTTGCAGGGAGACTGTGCTTTAATTCCATAAGTAATAGATGGGACATGAAAAAAGAGAATATTCAAGAGGCTTTTTTGGCTGCTGGGTTTCTGGGAGGAGGTAAATACAAGCCTTGGAATAGTGGAATGTCCTGGGAGCTCTCTCCTGGGCCAGCTCGGGCTAATTGGCTGCCAGCAAACCTCACACAGCCTTCACTTGGAGCTGTGGGTCTATTCCAGGCTATTCCTTTCCCTTGGGATTTGTATTTCTTGCTGCTAATGAACTCAGGGACTCGGAGGTGTCTCCTGGGAGTCTGTGACAGCGAGGGACGGGCTGGAGCAGCTTTGCCTTTGCGCTTAGGTTTGCTCTGCAAGCTCTTGGGGGAGTGTTTTAAAAGTAAAATATAAATGGAAGGTAAAATCTGTGTAGCTCTGCAGGTATCCAGGTGTGTTTAAAATGAGCATCCTCCTGGATTGGGATCTTTTTATCCCACCCTTGGCCCAGTTGTGCTGGGAAGCCAGAGGAAGCAGGGGAGGGAGCCTTGCCTATATTTGGACCTTGCTGTGTGGGCTAAAGAAACATAAACCAGTCATAACCAAAGAATTAAAGAGGAACTTGGAGTTTGGGGCATTGCAGGGTCTGAAATTTGTGCTTTTTAAGTGATTTCTGGTTGTTCCCATTTTTGTAAGTGCTTCCTGAGCAGCAGGAACTTTACCTGGGCACTGGTTTTACCTGGAATTGCAGGGGATTGTTGGAAACATCCCATTAATGCCAGCCTTGATCAGCAGCATTTTATAGTTTCTCTGTATATTTTATTGGAATTCTTTTTAATTTTAACTGTTTGTAAGAAGCTTTAAATTCTGAAAATAATCCCCAAACACAAATAAGGGTAAATTTTCAGCTGCACTCTGGGCATTGGTGGCTCTGAAAACAGATAAACACATCAATACTAAGTTTAGGCAAGTATTTTCCATACAACACAGCCTGCAGTATAAATTCCAGTAAATACATGACAGAACTTCCCAAAATGATGTCTTCTTTAATTATCTGTATTTCCCTGAAGAAACAGAGAGGCTTCCAGCTGGCTCCTTGACCTGAGGATTTCCAGTGTCCTTTCTGATCCTGGGTAGGAACATCCCATCCAGCTTTTCCACTAAAGGTGTTTAAAACCTTCTGCCAGCTTCAATCAGCCCTGATAAAACACTTCATTAGTTTAATTTCAATTCTTCTGTCTTCTCTTGGCACTTCCTTGTTCTTCCTCAGCTTCCACGTGCCAGACCTGGAATATTTAAGTGTGAGGAGCTGTTTGTGTGTGTTGCCACCACCTCTGTGAGCTTTCAGAGTCTCTCTTTAGGGTTTCTTGCTCTCCTCTAGCCTGGGGAAACTAAAGGAAGAGCATAATACTGTGATAATAAAAAGCCAAATATCCTGTGGGAGCGCTGGGGATGGATTTTGGGGTTTTTCTGGTTTAATCTCATGACTTCGGAAATAATCTTATGGTATGTGGAGGACTGACAAAAAACACTTGGGTCTGTGGGGTTTTATTCATGTTGGCATCCCAGAGCAGAGCTTTAAGGGTTTTATTTCTCCATCATTCCCAGGGAATACAGTGGCAGCTGTGGAAAGCAGGAATCTGGGCATGGATGTGGGGAAGTTCTCTTTCCAAATGGCAAATAAATGAAATTTTATGGAGTAGATGCCAGGGTGTATCCAGGCTCTTTCTGAGGGTCTGTTTTCCAGTCTGGTGGAGAGGCTGAAGCTGGTAATTCCAGTTTGGGTAGATCTCTGAGGTGCAGCCGTGGTTTGGATGTTCCTTTGGGAGTTATTCCTGCAGAGTTCTGGAGCTGCAGGATGGGCTCTGCCCTGGCCCAGCAGCTCCTTTGCCGTTCCAGAGGAAGTTTGACTCAGCTCCTTGTGGGACCTGGCATCCTCTGGAGCTGCAGGAATGCTTTGCCAACCTTCCAGCTTCGTCAGGAAGCCTTCAGCTGGAACAATGGCACGGGGCAGGGATGGAATTCTTGCATTTGAGGTGTGTTTAAAGGGGTTTTTCCACCTCTGGAGGCTGCAGGTTCTCATGTGGTGTTCCCCACACATCCCAGGAACTGTGTTCATTCCCATGTGTTCCCTGGCCCCACACATCCCAGGAACTGTGTTAATTCCCATGTGTTCCCTGGCCCCACACATCCCAGGAATTTTGCTCCTTCCCTCTGCACCTCTCCAGCGCTGTCAGCCTCATGGATGAGCTGCAGGGATTAATTTGGTAATAACATCTGGTACCTGGCAGCAGCATAAAACCTTCTCACCTGACAGGTGGCCTCTGCAAAGTACCTGAACTGTGCTTTTCTTCCTTAGATTTTTATCTTTAATCAGCTTCCAGCAGCTGTTTTTAAACCCAGAGAGTCTCCTGGAGGGGTAAAGCTGGAATTCACTGGAAGGGGATGAGGTTGTGCCCCTTTGCCTGGACAAATCTGCCTTGTTTTCCTCTTGTTTGAACACAAAGATGAGGTTTCATCAGCATCCTTGATTTGCCAAGGGTTTACTGCATCCAGGGCTGAGGAGGTGGCTTGGTTTAGTTGGAAAGGCAGAGGGAAAGACCTTGTTCCCTCTCAAAAGGGATGGAATGGCATTTCTAGGAACTCAAGGCAGGAAGTTCAGTCATGGCATCGCTAAGGAAGAGGAATTAAGTGGCTCTGAGGTGACTCTTTAGAAAATGACACAGGGATTTTGGAAAAGGCAGCAAGAACTCTTGATAATTGGGGTTGTCCATCTAAGAACGTCCAAGGAAGTTAATCCAAATGAAGATATAAATGGAAATGTGGTTTTAATTTGGTTTCACGTCATTCATCCGTTCTCTTTTATTCTGAATGAAGGTGTCCATGCAGGGATTTAATTTCATCTAATAAAGGTACTTAGAGTCACATCCTTAATGAGTTTAGGGTGTGCAGCGTGTTCTCCTCTGAACATCCTGAACGAGGTGCAGCCAAGGAATTTGACATCAGGGGAGTGATGCCTGTGGAGGTTCAGGGGCTGCTGAGATGCCAAAAGTCTTCCCTGCCTCAGGAGGGAACTGGGATGGTGCAGTATGGATGCAAATCCATCTGTTCCCAGTGACCCCCTGTGTGGAGCCTGGCAGTTCCAGCACCGACGTTCCTCAACGGCCATCACAGACAGAAACACTGAATTTTGGGAGATGAATCTCAGCTTTGCCACTTAACTCGCATAAAGCTGATATTACCCACTTAACTTCAAACCAGTTTATTTGTAGACTGTGGGATTTATAAGTTCTGTAATTAAACCGTGTCTGATTTGTGCATCAGGACTTTTGTTCCTGCCTCCTTATTCCACTTCCATCCTCCTCACCCCCTTTTTATTCCCCTTAAACAACTTTCCAGACTGAAGAGCAAATCTGTAATTTGCTGTACAAGAACCACATGGGTTGGTTTGGGTTTTTTTTTTTTTCTTAAATCCAGATTTTTTTCATGTTTCAAATGCTTGTTTGCTCAAGTATGTTCCTATGAATTTCTGGACACGGGGAACAAAAAGCTGGCCAGGCTGTCCATGAACAGTGTGCTGTGGAATGCAGTGTCGTGGCACTCGAGGAATTCAGTGATCTCTGTACCAAGAGCAAGATGTTGTTTATTGGTGCTTTCTAAAGGTTGTTCTGGGTCTATAAAATTCCTTATCCAGCAGTCAGGGAGTGCAGTCGACTCCGAGCGCGTTCCTGCTTTCCTCAGCGTCGTAAATGTCCTGTAATGATCCTGGGTGTGATGCAGACCTGTCAAATCTTATTGGATGGGCTCTTCAAAGCCTCAGATTGTCTTGGGCTGGGTTTATCCATCCAACTTTTGTTAGGTTTTTCCAGGATAAAAGGATTTTTATTTTGCTGGTGAATTTATCAGTTCTTTTGTTGATGTCGTGGTTGGGATTCTTCACTTGCAGGGCTGGAAATGTTTTATGAGGGATGGTTAACTTGATGAGTTTCAAGATGTTTTAACTCTCTTGCTGCTAAAATTTTAATGTTTATTTCTCTAATCCACTGGAAATTGAGTGACACAAACAGCACAAATACAACTCACGTTTTGGGGTTGTTCTCCCAAATTCCTGGTGGTTTTCCCATGGAAATGTGACTCCCATACCCACAGCAACATTTTCACTTATAAATGATACTTTCAACCTATTTATAAATTCTTCTCTCCCATGGGGGGTCCCATGAGCACAATTCCCGTCTTTTGTGTGATTTGGGAAATAAAACAACCCAAATTCTGCTGGAATTGGACAAATCCAAACTCAGTCTGGCATGGGTTGGGTCTGTTATTTTTTTTTCTTCAGTTAAAACCTCAGGTGAAACCTGGAATCAAAAGGTCTTTGGGATCTCTGAACTGACAGCGAGGCAAAAAGGCTGAAATTGAGGAGTTTTGGAGTCAGAGGAGTACAATTTTTTAAATGTAAGCAGCTGAGCCTGGAGGAAGAGGCCGATTGTTGAAACAGGCAACGTTAACAACAGGATTTTGCAACGGAGCTGCAGTTTGCTTTTCCAAAGGATTGCCAGCTTTCTCTTGGAAAAAATTCGCTTTGCGTCCTCCCAGGCCGAGAACTGGAATAAATTTTCCCCTCAAATGTCCGTTTTTTAACTCAAAACTTACATAAGCACCAAAGCTGAGCTGTTCTGTGCCCCAAAATGTGGTGGAGGGATGGGGAGAGGAGCCAAGTGTCACCTCTGAGCTAAGGGTGACTTCAGTTTATCCCTTTTCTGGGTAAAAATAATTGTTTCTGGAATTTTTTTTGTTGTTTTTCTTGAAATACACATTTCCCTGACCTTTCCCCATGGAAAAAAAGTAAGGAAAGTAAAAAATCCAGGTGAAAAATCAAGCTTGAGTGTGACTTGGAGGTGAAATTTGGAGCTTAGAATTCCTCTGAGGTAATTTTTTGTTTTTCCACTTGTTTTTGTAGGATGCTGTGACATCAAAACCAGTCATCCAGTTTCAAGGAAGCCAAGGGGTAAGTTTGTCCCTGGAAAATTCTTGCCATTTGATGGGATTGAGGAATTTGGGCTGTTCCAGCTCAAGGAATGATGCTGTGATTGCTGCAAGTGAGAGATGGAGGTTCAGGTGTTGGTCCAGGAAGGTGTTTGCTCATGGGTTCTCTCTCTCTAAAACCTTTTCCCTCCTCTTTATTTCCTTGACCTTGCTGAACCCATGGGAAGTTGAGATTTATGAGGCCGTGCTGTTGGCCAGAACAGAGGAAAGGATGCAGAAATCCATGGAATCCTCACCTGTATCCCAGGAAAACACCGAGCTAAACTCACTGCAAGACTTTTTGGGTCTCAAATGCCTTGCAGCAGCAGCAGCAGAGCTTGGAGGCTGCTCTGAGAGTCCTGGAGGTTTATTTAACATAACTGCAGTTCTGTGAGTACCAGAAGTTATTTTAGATTTAGGAGTTTTACTTCCCCAACTTCTGTTCCGATGACAGAACTCTGGGATATTTTTAGCCCCTTGAACCAGTCTGTCATGCCAGTTGCTGACAACGTTGAGATTTACGTGGTGGTGTTTCTGGTAAAGCAATGCAGCCCTTCAGTGAACTTGAAAAATGTCATTTAGATACCTTACTGGCACATTAAAGCTTTCAAAAAGGTTTGGGTTGAGTAGACATTAAACCCAGCACATTGTCCTTGCCCACGTCCTACTTTGTGATATTATTCTCACTAACAGTACATAGAAAATGCAGCAGGAAAGACATGATTGTTATTGTAACTTAAGAAGAAAAATACAAACCTTCTTATCCTGGGAAATAAAGAAAGGAGCAATTTCCAGGTTTTTTAGTTTTGTTTAGACTTAAACTTCCCTGAAAGCTCAGTGTGAAAGTTGAGATCAAAATCTGCCACTGAGGTTGGGCACAATCAGAAGTGAGGAGGAAAACTGAAGGGTGGGTGCGTTGTCTTCATTTGATGAGCTTTGCTCATGGAATAAAGAAGCTAAAAACACTGGGAATGCTTTCCTTTCCCTTTGGATTCGGGATCTACACCTGACTTTTCCTCTCAAGCTGTTTAAGTTGTGGAAATGCCTCCTCTGAATGTTTTTCCTTGAAGGAAATGTAGCAAAAGGGATGAAAACAGCTCAAAATGCTCCTCTGCCCTGAGCCTTTGCTCCTGGCGGGTTCCACATGGATCTGATATAACAAAAAAATATTAATTCCTGGAGATAATTAAGAATACTTTCAAATGCTCCAGTTACTTCTAGAAATTAGAAATACAAGAATAAAAGAGTTAATCCTATTTAAGCCCTGAACTCCCAGAGATGAGTGGTTGGTAGAGGAGCTGCCTGGCACCTGCAGTGTCACTCCATGGAGAAGGAGAGGAGCCAGGAGGGCTGGGCTGGGCTGGAGGGAGGATGTGGCAGCCAGAGCTGACCTCTGCCTGCTCCTCCTCGCCGCTTAATTAATGGCACTGACGAGGAAAGGCCAAAGGTAGAGCTTTGAAGAGAGCTGCAGCTCCACGGGAGCGCACAGAAAGAGCTCTTTGTCCCTTTATTATTATTTTTCCTGGGTATGACAAGGAGCTGGCAGCTGGGGAACCATCTGCTTTTAAGGGTAGGACTCTGCATGTCAGGATTCTCCTGCTTTTTAAGGAGCTGAGGCTTGAAATGCTTTCGAGGGATCCTCCATCAGTTGGGCTGAAGAGATAATTCCAGGAATTTACCTCTCACATCCACATGACGGCATTAAAACATATTTGTTGAGTGGTTTTACTTTTTAAATCATTTCTTCCGCTCTTCCTCAATTCCCCAATCTGCTGCATTCCTATTTTGCTTCCCAAAAAATGCAGCTATGGAGAATGCCATTAACTTTTTGGGGTGGGAGGTTTGTGCACAGAACAACAGTCAGTGTGATTTAAAGCAGTGAGGTTTTAATAGTGGGGATTTTCTGTTCAAGTATCCCTTTCTCAGGAATGATTTAGGGAGGCAGAACATAAAATAAGAATTTAAACAAACTGCTGTTTCTTGAATTTAATTGTCTAGATGCCTTTAAATTACTGTGTCCACGTGTTTTCACCTATTCCAGTGTTACTCTAAAAGCTGTCAATGATACTTTCAGTTTCTAATACACAGAAAAAGAAACTTCCATGTTTGAGGAGCTAATTAACCAGGGAAGGGAATTGTTGGGAGTAAAGTCCAGGGTCAGCAAGGTGGCAGCAGAAAGGAGGAAGTCAGAGGTTGCAGCCCAAAATAAAACAGCTGTTCCAGTGACAAGGTACAAAACCTCCCCTGCCTGGATCCTGATCTGGATCCAATCTCACAGGAGCTGATAAAAACTTTTGGGATTTTGCCTCGGGATGTGTTTTCTCTGTAGTGATGCTGCTGTTGTTAATGGCTTTTATTCTGTGTAATAATCAGAATTTCAGTTGTGATAACCAAGTTGTTTTTACCAGAGTGTTCCCCTAAAGTGAGACCATGGATATTCCTTAGGAGCAGCACCTGGCTGGCAGTTTTTCCTCATGGATCTAGTTTTTTTATAAGTTTTTATTGAGGTTTGAGCGTTGTGCTTGTTTCAGTGAGCACATCAGTTAGAATTTAACAGCTGGAATACCACAGCATTACAAATTGTGTTCAGAACTGTGCTAGAAATACTGAAAACGTTTCTATTTTAATAAAAAGACAGAATCAGAGCTTAAGCTGGCTGAAATTTGCAGGTGCTTGTGGGGTTGGTGAGAGCAGGGACAGAATTTAACTGGTGGGGCAGAAAATACCCTTTATGTGCCAAAGCCATGAGCGTTGTGCAGCGTTTTTAAAATGACTGTTGGGAGCAAAACATCTTTGTGATTGGAAAATAACAACATTTCCCCTTTTTCCTGGGATGAAATTTAGGTATTAACAGAGGGAGGTGAAATCTTTATTCAGAGTGAGCTGTCCACAGATGAATGTTACTTGAAAGATGAAAACAGAAGTCACATCTGTAGCGAGCTATTTTTAAGTGTCTCTGGTTACTGGTGCAATACCCAGCACCAAAATTAGGGCTCCCTCAAAGCAGTCACCATACTGATTTGGTGGCTTGAGAAACCTTCTGTTTTCAGCTAAAAATAATTCCTAGAGATAACGGCCAGCTCGCACATGAGACACTTTTCAGTACTAAAGTGACTCTGCCTCATTTTGCAGCCTCTAGAAACGCTGCAAAAACCCCACAAAAATCCAGAATCGGGGCTTTTGGTGCCACTGTTTTTTCCAGTGGTAAAGCAGGAGCGAGGAGGAAGTTCTTGGAGTGTGTGGAGATGTGATTTGGTGACATCCTGCAGGTTTTATTTTCCAGGCTCAGGTGTGCAGCTCCATTCCCCCCTGGGAGCGGAACCGGCCCCATTGGATTTTCCTTTTCTTCCCGTTCCCATCAAATTTCCAGCTGCAAAATCCCCCTGCCTCCCCCGAGTCTGCTGCTTACATAACTCTGCCTTTGTGCCTGTTCTGCTAAAGCAGAAGGGAATTTTCTTCCCCCTGCCTGGGTGGGGGCAGAGGATGCCAGGAGAGATTAAAAGGGTTCGAGGGCTGCGGCACGCGTTTGGCAGGGGAGATAATGGGGCTGCTCAGGGAGGGCCCAGCAGCACCCAAAAAATCTGCTCCCTGTATTTTCAGGCCTGGTTCCTGGGGATAACTCGTGCTCCTGTATAAAGCAAGGATCAGGTCTGGGTTTCTGGTTTTTGGAAGAAGGGAGCTCTGTTCGCGCCGCACGGGCTCGGCTCAAGAGCTTCTTGCTGAGAACATCGCTGTGGTTTACAGGGACACAGATCCCTGGGTTTTCCAGGCTGCTGGAGATGTCTGAGGTCTGAAGGAAAGCACCCAAAACCCCTCCTGTCCCAGCACAGTCATGTGTGGATGCCACGGGCCGGCTTGCTGGCAGCGTGTGTTTTCTGCGTAGATGTGGCAATCTGCGTAAATATAAATCCGTGTGTGGTAAAAGCCTGGCCTAAAATAGGCTGGAGCTGGTGTTCCTTCTGTCTCAGCTTCTGGAAGCCATCTTAATTATCAAATATTGATGTGATAGTGGAGCTCAGATGCTGACATTTACGTTGGATCCTGAATGCAGAGGGGAGACGGTTTCCCTTTTGAAAAATGAATGGCTGTGGCGGGGGTGAAAAAAAAAAAACCAATGCAGGATGGTTGTGGAGTTGTCTGTGGAGCACACTTACTGCTTGATTAAATATTTAATTTAGCAGCAGCGTCACACTCTACTGTGAGCCATGAAATCTTGTTATGGAATTATAATTTCTTAAAAAAGAATAAGCATGCTACCCAGTGACCTGGCTTGTGCTATGTTTAGTGCTGGATCAGTAATTCTAAAGAAACGAGCCCCGAGTGTTTTACATTGAATATAAACAGTGGGAGCGAGTCTGTTTTGAGCCTGAATCAATAGAATTGGGTCAGGTTCCTAGAACAAGGTGGCTGTGGGCTCTGTTCTCTCCCAGCCATATCCACCTTCAGCTGCTCTTTCCCTGTTACCTTTTCCTCACCCCTGCAGACAGCGGGGACAGCTTGAATTCTTTGCCTTAACCCAGGTGCTTTCCTTGTTGCAAAATGCCTCAGAGCATCCTGGCTGCAGGAGAACTGAGCTTTCCTCAGCCTGGGCTTAGCTGAGTGACCAATGTTCCCTCTCCTCCTCCTCCTCCTCCTCTCCCGAGCAGCACATCGCCATCCCGAGGCCCGATCGACCGGCAGAAGTGCGGACCTTCACCTTTTATCTCTCCAATATTGGCAAGGACAGCCCCCAGGGGAGCTTTGACTGCATCCAGCAGTATGTGTCCAGGTGAGTGGGGCATCCAAGGAAAAGCCAGCTTTTTTGGTTTTTGGTTGGGTTCATCTTTCTCTTTTTTACCCTTTCTTCTGGAGCATCTCTTCCTTAACGAAGCTTAATGCACGCACTTCCTTTTCAGAGTCTTTCTGTTCTGTTTCAGTGTGGGATTTTTTTTTTGGGAAGCATCTGGTTCCCTCTCAGCTCCTCTGTGTGTGTCCCCCAGTATTATTCAGCTAACACCCCCCTAGCTGTCCCCCAGTGCCAGCCCCGTGTCCCTCTGCAGTGTCAGGAGTACCTTTTCCATTGCATTTCTCTTGCAGCAATGGCAATATCCATTTGGATTGCCTGGGAAGCATACAGGATAAAATCACCGTGTGTGCTACTGATGATTCCTACCAGAAGGCGAGGCAGAGCATGGCACAGGCAGAGGAGGAGACTCGCAGCCGGAGCGCCATAGTCATTAAACCTGGGGGGAGATATGTAGGTAAGCAGCCACTCAGTTTGGGGCTCTGGACTGCATTTGGGACTCAGCAGGCTCTGGAGGCAAATCCTGGTGTTGTTGGATCCTTTGTGGCAGTCTAAGAAGTCCCCAGGAGTTCCTCATGGGTGATTTAGGGGGCTGCTCGCCTTGTGTTGTGTTGTCTTCACTTCCATCATCACCCCAAGGGAACTGCCCCAGCCCTGGAGGTGTCCGAGATCAGGTTGGAGCCACCCAAAGGTGTCCCCTGCTGTGACAGGAGGTGGCCCTGGGTGATTTTAAGGTCCCAGCCAGCCCAAAGCACTGGGGGATGTCTGTGTGCAGTGAGGTAGCCCTGGCAGTGCTGGAGTGTCCCCAGTGTCCCTGCTCCTGGCCAGCCCAGCTGCAGCTGCCAGCCCTGTCCCAGCTGTGCCCCACAGGCAGGACACAGGCAGTGTTCCAGTCCCAGCCTGGAACAGCCCTTCTCACTGTGACAGCAGCAGGAAAGCCTCAGCAGAGGAAATAAAACCATGGTAAATAACACAGGGAGCTCAGGGCCCTGCTTAACCTCAGCTCACAAACTTTGGGCACAAACAGTAACCAGAATGCAAAGTTTCGGTATTTTTTATTTTTTCCCTGAGGCAGCTGCTTTTCCTGCAGCCCATGTGATCTGCAGCCAGTCTCTTCTCAGAGGATCAGTGATGAGAAGGGTTGAGTTGCAAAATGTAGAACTGACCCTGACTCATTGTCACAGCAGCCAAGTGCTCAAAGCTGAGAAAGGAGATAGTAATCAGGAAGGAAATGCATTGATTTCCTGTAGGCCAGAAGATTATTTTGTTTAGCTCCTCTTTGAGAACATTACAGTAAGTGCCTGAAGTTAAAGCTTCTGAGGGAGAAGATTCTCAAAGCAATTTGCTTCCTGGAAAGATGGAGCAAAACCGTTTTAAAATTAAAAATACTCCTGGCTAAAACCTTTTAGTGCCCTGGAATGGAGACAGAGCCGTGTGAAAGCAGCGAGGGCAGAGCGTGTGCTCCTAGATAAGATGTCAGTGTTTGAGGAGGAGAGCTCTGGTCCAAGAAGGAAGGGCTTGGAAGGACAGTCCTCATGTGGGATCTGCAGGTCCTGGTGTGCCAGCAGCATCAGCTGATTCCTGCAGGCCGGGCTGGAGGGACAGGGCTGCCTCTCACATTTCCAGGAGAACACGGAGCTCAGCGCTTGAGCGCCAGTGGAGTCGTTCCAGGCAGCTCAGATGTGGAAAAATTTATATGAAATGTTGAAATTGGAGAGCAGCAGAACCTACAGATGTGAGCTGACACTTGAATAAATAGATATATAAATAGATAGCTGCAGGTAAAGCTGCAGGGGATGTGTGCTTGTAGCCACACTAAATGTGTGCATACATCCATAGACATGCATGTGTATAAATATTTGAAAATCCTTTGTGTCCTGGCTCAACTTAGTTTTTTCTTGTCCTATCACTGCTCATTTTGGCTCCAGCCTTCAAGTGGAAACCTCCCAACGTGATGTTTTTACTGTTCATGACCTGGCAAGAGTTAAGGCAGTTGTAGAAAGCTGACGAATCTTCTCTTGTCCCATTTCTGGAAACAAAATCCAGCTGACCTCTGGATTGTGGGATGTTTAACGTGCGAATTGGTGTCGTTCCCCCTCTCACCTCCCCTCAGCCCTATGGGTCGTGCTTCCTCTCCCAGCGCTGTGGTGTAGAATGAAAAGCCAGGAAATGGGGCTTGGGTTACACAATGTGCAGCTCGGTAAAACAAACAGTGCAGACAATCCTCAGTATCTTCAGATGACTCAGTTGGAAACGTTGCTTCCTAGCAATGGAGCAGTGCCCTGCTGGAATAGACCTCCCAAACACTTGCAGTAAATGCTGGATGTTGTTTGTCCTCGTGAAGGTCACTTTCTCCAGCCCAAGTCATTATTGATTGATCTCTCCAGGTTTTCAGACCTTGGAACCCACAGGTCTTGTTTTCAGCTTTGCCTTTGGTAGCAGGAACTGGATTTGAAGCAGTCCCAACCCTTCGGTTTGGGATCCACTAAGAGACGGCCGTGAGGGTTCTGTTGGGAGAATGAATTCTTGGATTGTGCTGTCAGCAGCCAAGAGCCCCAGTGAGGACAGAGCTGAGATAGATGCACTTGTGAGCCAGCTTTATGTTGTCACTGGTGTGCAGGCGCAGTGGAGAAGGGGTTATTCCATCAGCACAGGCAGCACCCTCGTGAATAGGCCGATGGCCCAGTGTCAGCCCCATTCATGGGGCCGTGTTTGGAGGGGGAAGGGAGGTGGACCCAGCCCCATAAAGTTCCTATTGTTCTAAAAGCAGAAACATCTGCTGGAGGAGCGTTTTTGCTGAGCTCAGCAGCGGGGAGCCGCTCGTTGACCAGTTCTGGTCTTTCCACTCTGTATTTCCCACTCTTCTACATAATAATGCAGAATTTTCCTCTCATAGGGAGGGCAGAAACAGTTCGATTAACCGTGGGGATACGTGCACTTGGGATAAATGAAAAGCTGGCAAACAAAGGGAGCTTTATGTAAGCTGGTGGCCAATAATACTCAGGTTTCCAGAGCTTGGTGTTGCTGTTTACTTGTTACAAGCTTGTCATGAACCATAAACCTCAACGGGATGCTCGTTGTGGCGGCGCCTCGGGACGGAGGGGGTGTGTGCTGGTGGTGTTTGTCCTTCCTCATCACCTCGTGGCACTTCCCAGGGGCGTGATGAGCTCTGGATCGGTGCTGACAGCCCACTGGCCTTTGCGAGGCGACTGCTGCACTTCACTATTCTCATCTCATTTTAGGCAAAAAGGTTCAGGTGCGTAAACCTGCACCAGGAGCTTCCGATGCTGTTCCCTCCAGGAAGCGCCCAACGCCAGTCAACCTTGCCAGTGCAATAAAGAGAGGCAATAGTGCGATTTCCCAGAGACCCTTCAAAGATAGGGTTGTGCACTTACTGGCACTAAAGCCTTATAAGAAACCTGAACTTATTCTCAGATTGCAGAAGGATGGACTTTCTCAGCAGGACAAGGATTTGCTGGATAACCTTCTGCAACAGGTTTGTACTCTGATGAAGGCAACGATTTAGGTAAAGGGAATAAAAAAAATAAAAATAAAAATAAATGTCTTCTCAGCACCTCCCACCCGTGGCAGTGGAAGCTGTTATCTCCAGGCTGCAGCTGAATGTGGCTCTGAAGGCTGTGGGGGACACAGTTCTCAGCTCCCAGTGCTGGTGCAGAGATAGCAGGAGCCTCCCGTGGCTACGCCTCGGGTCACAGGGGTGCAACCAAGCTGGGTGGCTTTGGCTCACCAGATCAGTCCCTTTCAGAGGGACACTTCTGCTTGGTCATGGGGAGGATTCTCTTAACAGAGGATCTACAAATTATTTGATTATAACCTCTAAATCTCTATTTTATTCTCATGGTAAAGGAGCGATGCTCTGTATTGGTACAAATTTTGTATATGCAAGAAAAGATGTCCCCAGGTTTGGTTTTTTTTTTTGTGCTCCTCAGAGCCTTTCCTGCTTGTGAGTGCCACTGGTCAGGTGTGAAGATCATGCAGCTCCTTGCCAAGCACATTATTTGTGTGTCAGGTGTGAAAGCTGTCTGCAAGCTGAATCAGTTCCTAGCACTTTGAGTCACATCAAAGGTGCCATTTCAGGCCTCGCAGTAAACACCTTCATTGCTTTATTAAACACATCATGGCTGTTTATTTAAATGCTGCAGCTGCCTTCTTCTGGATTGGAAAATATTCTGGAAAAAAAAAAAAAACTCCTTAATTTTTTACTTAATTCTTTTTTACTCCTTTCCATAAAGAGTGAGACAGGAGTGCACAGGGGCACATTGTATTAAAAACACACAGCTGGGCACAACTCCTTCCTTCCTTAGATTTTGAATCCTTAATTTCCCAGCAGCTTTTTGGAGCGCTTTATTTCAATTCTATCAGTGAGTTTCAGAGCAGGAAACTCCTTTTTCTGACGACCACTTTTGACGGATGCTCTGCCCCAGCCCCCCGGCAGGTGAGCGGCGCGTGCGGCACCGGCCACGGGGCCGAGCGCCGGTTTAAACGTGGTGCTCGTAAAGTTAATCCCTCTCAGCCCTCCCAGAGCTCCCATCAGACACAGATAAGCTAAAAATTACAGGCTGTTGTTAAAGCTACACGGCTAAATCTGTCTAGGTGTGGGTTTCATTGTGCTCTTGCATCTCTCGCAGGACTCGGTGTTCCTGGCGGCCTTTTTGCCTCATTTTGCAAGGTTTCTATTTTTGGGAGGGTTGGGGTGGAGCTTGCAGAGTCCCACACCAGCAAAACAAGGAGGTAGCAGCTCTCAGCCTCTGTGCAGAGAAAAATCCAAGTTGTTCTTCCCAGGAACAGGCAGGAAACAGAGAAATTCTGGGAGAGTTGTTTTGTTTTTGGGTTTGTTCTTTATTTTTTTGGTAAAGGAGAACCTGGATTGGCTTTTGTCTCCTGGGTGTGTTTACAGGGATACCTCGATGTAAAACACAGCTCAAATTCTTGTTGTATTTTGGCTCAGGATTTTGGAAAGCTGACAGGACTGAAAGGAAAAACAAACTGTCGTGTAAACTGATAACTGGGCTTTCTATTTTTCGCTTATCAGGAGAGTTTGCCACGTTGGTTGTGCAGCCTTTTGCTCTGAAATTCCCAGATTTTTAATATTTTTTTAATACTAGGTTCTAGCCTCCCTAAAGCAAAAGCAGAGGAATCAGCAGCATCTTCAGTTCATTCAAGACTTCCCACTCCTTTGCTAGTTTTTGAGGCATTTTCCTGCTGTGTGGACAATGGAAATCCCTGAGCACAGCCACGTCCTGAATGGAGAACAGTAATCCCTAAACAGATGCACAAGATGCACTGAATAAAAGCATTTTCCACTTCCAAGGGGAGCAGTCCCCGAGCTGAGGGGCTCCAGCAGGGAATTTGGGCTGCAGCTGCTGGCTTTGCCTGGCTGTGGGCAGAGCATTTGGCACCTGGGCCTCCTTATCCCTCTTCAAAACCACATTGAGGGCTTTATTTTCATTTGAAACTTGCGCTGCTCTGCAAGCTGAGGTTGCCCAGAGAAGCTTCCCCATCCCTGGGGGTGTCCAAGGCCAGGTTGGAGCAATCTGGGATAGTGGAAGGTGTCCCTGCCCTTGGAATGTGATGGAAGCAAACCATTCTGGATCACCCAGGAGAGGTTCACCCTCTGGGAAAGCCTCACTGGGGCTCTTTGCTTTGTGCCAGCTCCGGGTTTTCAGGCATGTACCAACAGCAAGAAGTTAAATTTTCAGTCAGGCTGTGGAAGGACAGATCCAAGTGGGATAACTCTTCCCCAAGTTGTTTCCATTCCGTGCAGGCATCACGCAGGGTTTTGTGGGGAAGCTCCATGGGGTAAGGTTGGATAAAACCTTATTTATGCTTGGATTATTAAGGTTGGATAAAACCTTATAAATCAGGCAGCTGCTGGTGCGAGCGTGCTGAGCTCCCTGCAGAGCTCTGCTGGCTTCAGGCTGGAACCCCCAGCTTCTGTTCTTGCCCTGGAGAAGTTCTCCATAAAATCCAGGTGATCCCAGGGCATTCTCCTCACAGCTCCCTGAGAAATCAGCTCTCTGTGGCCAGTTTTGTTGGCTCGTTATTGAGAAATTATCTCCTGGCAATCGTTAACCAAGTTATCGCCCCAAGAGTTCCTCTTTGGCCATAAACTGCCCCATTTTGGCTACGGGACAGGTGTGATAAGTGAACTGCCTGTTCCCATTAAGGCTTTATGTCCAGGTGTTTCCATCAAGTGCTGGTCCAGGCTTCCCAAACTGAATAATCTCTTTTAGATATGACTTATTTCCCACTCAACTGGATGTGCTTTAGAAACTCATTAGGAATTATTGCAGTGACGAGGCGAAAGGAAAGGCACAGTTTGATTAAATAATCTTAATAATGAGGAAATGAAATATTAAAGTCTCTCCTTGTTCTCTGACACTACTAACAGCTGCTAAATCTGCTCAGATTTTTGCCTTCTTTGGTCGAGGAAGTGAAGAAATGAAGCCCTAATGATGGTTTTCCAAATTCCTTCTGTTCCAGGTGGCAAATCTGAGTGCCAAGGACAGCACTTTCACACTGAAAGATTGTGTATACAAAGAAGTGCAGAAGGACTGGCCTGGCTACTCAGAAGGAGATCAGCAGTTGTTGAAGAGGATCCTCGTTAGGTAATTATCCATTTTCTTCTCTCTGATAGCATCCAAGGAATCCTGGGCCAGGGAAGGTTCTGGAAATCAGGGTGACCAGGCTCTGTGAGTGTGTGACTTATTTTGACACAATTTCCAGCTGTCCCAGGGACCTGTAGGAGCGGAGTAAACTTGAAATCCACATGGATCCACTCTTCACATCATCTTTTGAATTATTAAAGGCAAAGCTTGGGGGAAACCTGGCTGGGAGCAGAGCTGGTTAATTCTGCTGGTCTGAAATCCTGGGAGATGAGTGCATTAAATGCTCAGCTCTCCTTTGAAGCTCTCCTTCCTTTTTTTCCACCTCTCCCTGTGCAGGCTGAAGCGTTTCATCCCTAAATCTGAGATCTGATTGAGGTGGTGGATGCATGGAAAAGCAAGAGGTTTTAAATAATAAATAATAAATCCCTTAAAACTCCTGCTTGGAGTGTGATCTCTGCTCCCATGTTCCCTCCTGGAGCAGCCCTTGACAGCCTCAGTTCATCCTTATTGCTGAAAATTTTTCCCCCTCTTTAGAGATATTTTCCTTAGGTGAAGCCTCCAAGTTTGGAAGCTTGTGGCTGGCAGGGAAAGAGAGATCAGATCTCTCAGTTTTACACAGAATTCTGCTCTGAGTGTTGACATTCTTCAGTGCCTTGGTACAGATTTTGTCATGCAGGCAGAGCTTTTACTCATTCCTTTATTTTATTGCACTTTTGGTTAAGCTGAAGCACAGCATGGCTCTGTTTGAGCACTTCCCATGATTTAAAAGCACAGTTGACTTGGAGATGAGACTTTTTTAAACCAACAGAGAACTTGCACTCTAAATGTTTTGGTGCGCTCAAGGAAAATCAAAACTCATTGAGATGGCCTTGATGTGAAATTATAATTAAAAAGAAAAATACAACTGCCATGCAATCTTTATAGCTTTGAAAAAAAAGAAAAAGCCAAAGTGAATTTCTTGCTGTAGAAAAGCCATGTTTACTGCTTTTTCTAGAATTGTGGCACTTGGGCGAGGGTCTAAAAATAGACCTTGGAAAGGATGTATTCAACTGTACAAACAAAGCCCTGCTCAGGCAGTGCAGGTAATGAGGCTCCAAAATGGAAAAAAAAACACAAAAAAACCCATGATGGGTTGAAGAGAGGAGAAAAACAGGCCCAGAGAAAGGGCAGCAGACGTTGGGGTTGGCATCGCCAACAAATAATTCCAAATTCTGCATTTCAGGGCCAGTGGCCGCTCAGTGCCTCAGCAGCTGCAGTAATTAACACATCTGTTAAATTAAAGCTGGGTCTAGCTAGGCTTGGGTTAAACCAGCTCGGTTTTTCCTCCTTTTTTTCTGTTTTCCATCCCTGTGGAAGGTGTCCCCAGCCTGTACCTGGATGAGCTTTAAGGTCCTTCCAACCCAAACCATTCCAGCATCCTCTGGAATCTTTCCTCTGCTGAACTCGGTGCTCTCCTGACTCCTAAAATCCATAATTAACAATTTAAAGATGTGATCAACCATCTCCCCCCAAAGCCACTTTGACTGGGGTGTTGGGCAGTATCAGAGTCCCCATTTTCACAGTCCTTGAGTTGATCTGTGGCTGCTGAGGTTGATTTAAATAAAATTAAACAAAGCCAGGACAGTGGTGACACTGCAGATGTCAAAATATTGCTGCAACACAGCCCAAGGTTCAAGTTCAGGTTAAAAGCCAAATCTTGTCAAGTTCTGGGCGTTATCTCTGAGATAAATCTTTCCAGTGTTTAAAGGATATGAGTGAGCTTTAATGCTGATTCCAGTTTCTTGTGGGAGAATTTCAAAGTGGGTTATTCAGGCTCCACAGCTCCTGACAAACTGACTGCAGAGCTGCTTTATTAAAACCTTTAACCCTGAATTCTATTTTTTATTTTTTTTTTTATTTTTTTTATTTTTTTTTCAGTTTGTCAGGCACAGTTTGATGCAAGAGCAGTTTTTGGGTTTTTTTTTTCTGGGTGATTAATTGAGTCTGGTGTCAGAATTGTTGGACAAAGCCAGTGGGCTGGGAAAATACCCTGAGATCTGCAGAGGAGCAGAGATCCAGCCTGGAGGGGAATTCAGGCACTCAAATGATTCTAATTGTCCTTTTTGTTGCTACAAAAGGGGTTTTTTTTATTTATCCAATACCACAAATACTGGCCAGAGTAGCTTTGTTTTGCATGATGCAACTTAAAAGTATTATTGGGAAGCCCAAAATGTAAATCCTGGTGGACCAATAACACCTCAGCAGTTTTTGTTTTTAGTGCTGCTTTTCCTGGACCCAGAGGAGTTCACTGCTGAAAGGGCTCCTGTTGCCATAAAATGTTGTTTTAATGATGCTAATGAGAGGGAGAACTTACTCCTCAACATCTGAGCTTGAGTTTCAGCCCCTCTTCAGTGAGCTTTGCTTTCTGAGTTGTCTCACAAAGCAAAATCTGAGCAGAAATTTGTTTAATTAAAGTCTTCCTGAGCTGTATTTCAATCAGCAGGAATAATATGTGATATCCTGTACACCTTAAAGTTCAATACCACTTGCACTGATCTCCACGTGATTCTGAGGCTGGAATTAATTTGGTTTAATTTTTATGTCACCAAGAGAGAAAAGGTAAAATTGTTGAAAAAGGAGTTCCACCCTCAACAGGGAATCCTTTCATGTGTCCAGGAGCTCAGCCATGGACAAGGTTGGTCCAAGATAATCCTTCCACTGCCAAAGAGCCACAAAAACCACGGCAAAGCAGGAAAGAGACGAGGAATTCCAATTGCTCACCGGTGTTTCCCTGCAGCATTTTCTCCTCCCCAGATTTTCTCAGAGCCCAGAACGAGCTCCTTTATGTCACCTCCCAGCAGGGTTGGAGCCCAAGCAGAGCCGCAGGTGTGCGGTGCCACCTGTCCCCTCGGCACGGGGCGTGACCAGCCCCCGGTTGTGTTTTGCAGGAAGCTGTGCCAGCCCCAGAACAGCGGCGCTTTCCAGGGAGAAGCTCCTTCCCTGAGCCCTCCGAAGGACACCCTCAACTCCAGCTCTCCCCCTCAGGTGGGTGATCCCCCCCATCCCAGCCCCCGGATCCGTGCGCTCCCGATGGATTTGGCTGCTGGCTGGGCTGTGCCTGTCTGCACCCTGTAATCACCTGCTGCCGGGTCAGGAGGGCTTGGGGGGTTTTATTTCTGTTTTATTAAGTTGGAGTCTCATTCTGGCTTTCCTCAGCATCTGTTTCTCCTCTGGACGTGGCTCAGCGAGGGCCCTGTGGGGAGGATCTCTGACAGCGAGGCTCAGGTTTAGTTTTAAGGGCTGAATTCCTTTTGCAGTGCCTCCATCCCTCCCGGAGTTCCTGGGAGAACACGCTGGTGTTTTCCTCATTACTAATAATTGAGTGGAACGAAGCTGTAATAAGCAGCTCCCAAACACAAGGGTTGAGTTATTAAAACCCTTGACCTTTTGCAGCCTAATTGCTGTGACAGATCAGGGGCAGGTTGGGCTGCTCCAGGCTCGGAGATGCCAGAGCAGGGAGCTGTGAAAAGAACATTTTGCCTGCTTTTTCCATGACCATAAACCACACAGGAGCCGCGTTTGACGCGTGTCAAGCGGAGCCTTGTCCCCGCTTCTCCCAGCATCTCCCAGCACAGGCGTTGTGAAATGTGCTGCCTTCCCTTCTCCCAGTGTGGGTCAGCCCAGACAAGTTGAGTATTTATTCTTCTCCTGCCAATGGAATGTGTAATGCCTGCTTGTCTGGACAGACGCACCGAGGATTAGTGGCAGAGAATATTAACAGGTAAAAGGAATTATGTGCTCTCTGGCACTGAGAGGGGAGGCAATTCTCTGGTTGAGGACTGTGTAACTTGTTTGCCAGGTAGCTGATTCCAAATCCTCTCCTGCTCTGTGCTGTGGGCATGTTCCTGGTGAATGAAGAATGATCACCTCTTCAATTTAGTTCGGAAAGATCCTGCTCTTGTGTCCTTTTTTTTTTTAAAAAAAAAAAAAACTTTTGAAAGTCTTTTGTGAATCTGAAAAGATTTTTGAAAAATCATCTCGTTTCTCTGGCTGTCTGTATTTTAAAGACTCAAAGGTCTTGAGGTTTTGATCTGTCAGAATTCAGCTGAAACTTTGGGTGGTTGGTTGGGTTGGATTTAGGAAAGGCTGGTGAAACAGGGACAATCCAATGTGGAATATAAATGTTTCCAGCGTGGTTCTGTCGTGTCAGACAGCAAACCACAACGTTGTGTGCTGTTCACTTTTTTTTAATAGTCTCTGGCTGTAATTTCTATTTAGAGAAATGGTTTTTAATGGCTGCAGTGCCAGCAGAGGATTGGGATTTGGTAGGCTGGAATGCAGAGTATTTTGGGAAAGTTCAGCTGTGGAATGAAGGTGAAGAAGATTGGTCTGGTAATTCTAGAAAATGGATGTGTATAACCCTCCTAACCAGGGAGATGAGTTTGGAGAAGCTGATACTTGTTGTTTTTAGGGAAAAGGTTGTAAAATCTGTCAGATTTTTTAGCTGTGTCACCTGTTCAGAGCCCTGCAGACAGAGGTGGCCCCTCCTTGGGGAGATGGACACTGGGAGGTGATGTTGCCAAGCCGGTCGGACGTGCTGTCCTTGCCCCTTGAGCTCAGCAGCAGAACCAGCAGCTCTTCCTTAATTACCTTGACAGGTGGAAAGAATTCCTGGCACTGAGCAGTGTCCTCAAGACCCCTGAGTTAGCAGAGAGGGAGAAAATCCAGGGGAAAAGGAGGGAATCGGGGGCTGCTCCAGCCACCATCCCGCCGCGTTTCAGCGGTGGAACATTTCCATTCGCAAACACGTCGCGATCCTGCCTGAGACAGAAAGAAAATAATGCATTATCCAAAAGAAATACCCAAAGATATCGCTTGTTTTCCTCTGGGCACGAAATAATCTTTGGCTCAGAGCTGTCGCAGCCCCAGAGCTGCCAGGTGGGCACACACCGAGGTGGTTTTGGCTGATGTGGATTCTGATGGATGGATTCTTCGTGGAGCAGCTTTTCCAGGCTGGAGGCAGCTGGGAACCACTTCCTTGCTCAGAAAAGGGTTGCTCAGGTCACGTTGGCCCCTGTGACGTGGCTTTTTTAAATGTCCCCTTTTTGCCTGAAATTCTGAGAACTGAGCAGTTGGCACTTCCTTCCTCCCCCTCTCCGGGCAGTGCCTCGTTCCTGAGAAGAGGAAGGAACGGGGAAGGGGTGAAGCTCCTGGGAATAAAATGCAGAACTGGTGAATCCTTCCCTGCTCCCGAGGGCTGAGCACGTTTTTCTGTCACAGGGACTCGGAGGTGCTGAGGACAGATGGTTTTTTTCACGGAGTGGTTTGGGTTGGGAAGGACCTTAAAGCTCATCCTGTTCCACCCCTGCCATGGCAGGGACACCTTCCACTGTCCCAAGGTGCTCCAAGTCCTGCCCAGCCTGGCCTTGGACACTTCCAGGGATATTTCCATTCTCTAATTGCCTGGGACAAGCTGCTGGGGTTGAAATAAACTGCAGTGAGAGGAGGCTGGGGGCAGCATGGGCTGTGTGTGGATGATGGGGGGAGGTCAGGAATTGCTGATGGGATTCTTTAAGCTGTCCCACCAAACTGGGAAGCAGTTTGGGATGGATAAACTGCTTTTCCCATGGATGTTGCCTTCTCCCCTGTATTGCACCACCACCTAGTGGCAACATCCAGCTCCACTTCTGCACCTTCAACGCCATTTATTTCTCTTTTTTATTTTTTCCCCCCTCCTCCCTGACAGAAACGATCCCAACCTCTGGAGTTCATCGACCCTCTAGCCAACAAAAAGCCCAGGATCTCACATTTGGCTCACAGAACCCAACCCACTCTCAACGGGAAGCTGAATTCCTCCAACGGGAAGGACACGCCGGCCCCCCCTGCCCTGCCCCCGGCTCTGCCGGAGCCGGTCGGCTCCAGCTCCTCCCTGCCCGCCCTGGAGCTGCCCAGACCCCACGATCCCCTCTCGGATGTCAGCAACGACCTGACTCACAACGGCAGAGACTGTGAGAGCACGGAGCCTCCCGACAGACTGAGTCACCCCCTGCCCACAGACTGTGCCCAGAGCAGCAAACACAACTGCGGCTCCTACGTCAAATCCAAGAAAAAATCCAAAAAGCACAAAGACAAGGAGAAGGAGAGGAAGGAGAAGAAGAGCGAGGAGAAGTGCAAAGAGGAGAAGCAGAACTGTGAAGTAATAAAAAACGCTGATTTAGTTAGTGTTGCCCAGGAGCAGGTGGCAGGTGAGTGGGGGCCCGGAGGTGCTCTGGGTGCGGTGCCAGGGTTCCCTGGAGGAGTGGGCACGTCCTGGGCCATCCCAGCTGCTCTGGGGACCCAAATGCCAGCTCTGCCCTCCCTCCAAATCACCAGAGGTGCTTCCTCTCCACAGAGGGTATCAGGTTTTTCCTGTTTAACCTTTCGTGCTGTTTGGAGCCGCCTCGGAGCGTGTCATGTTTCTCCTGGTTAAATTAAAAGCTGGGATAATCTGTGGGGATGAAAGGCTGGGAGCAGTGGGAAGAGCAGTGTTGGCTGTTGTGATGACTGTTGTTTGGGTTTTTAATGAAAAGTTACTCACAAAAGCTTTTAATATTGGCTACAAAAGAAATGATTGATAAAGCTGGTGATAAATGCTGTTAAAGCAGTGGAGAAACCAGCTCTTCCAGGCTGGAAAAGCTTCCCTCCATCCCACTGGGGCTGGGGATTTATTTATTCAAGGACTGACACAGCAGTGAATCCCCACTGAGGTGGGATGAAAACATTTTCCACTCTTTCAAAGTCGGGTCCATGCGCTGTTAGAAGTCAGAGAATATTTCTTGGCTGATCCCATCCATTCCTTTTCCTGCTGCTTCCATGTTCCCTGCTGTTTGTGACAGCTCCCCAGAGCACTGGGACTTTCCCTGCAGCCTCTGGGAATATCTGTTAAATTCCTTTTTTTTTTTTTGGCATTTTCCTTCACCCTCTTACTATTTCCTACATTCCCCTTCCTGCTTGGTGCATGAAAATCCTGCAGTTTTGGCTCCAAAAGGACAATATTTTGAAATGGAGCCTCATTTGCTGAATTCCTGGAAAGGGGGAGCTCCTCAGGGTGTTGGGATTGAACCAGTTCCAGCCCTCCCCTTCCCCACAGGCTTTGCAGCAGTGACAAAATGCATTTTGATGCATTAAAATGATTAATGATCATTTTAGCAGTGATTCCTGGGGACAGTCCGTGGGGCTGACGGGTGTGTGGCGCTGCAGAACTGAGAATTCTTCTACTTTTGTGTCTAATCCCAGTTTTTTTCTGTGAATGTTGTGTTTCTTCCACATTGTTTCTCTTCCCCGTGAGCCTCTGGAGTGATTCTGGAGAGGCACTCACACATTCTCTCTTTTTATCTTAGAAATACCCAAACACCCCAAACTCTTGGGAGATGGCTGAGCCTCCTCCACCACCTTTTCTGCTTCTCTTTTTACTGTTTAATTCCCAGATTTTTAATTATTAGGAGCTGGGTTTTGTTCCTGCTGCCGTTTCGAGGCAACAAATCCGAGCTGGACTGGGAGCAATCACAAACAGGATGTGGTCAGTCCTGCTTGGATCCTGGACAGCCAGAACTGGGATGTTTTCCTAGCTTTGCTCTGGGTAGCACCAGCCTGATCCTTCTCCTTCCCCAGATTCCCCCTGCAGCTGTAGGGAAGCAGAGAACCACAAAAAGTTTGGGTTGGAAGGACCTTAAAGCTCATCTGGTTCCACCACCTGCCAGAAGTGGGAGTTTCTCCTGGGAATTTTATTCCAGAGGGGCCTTTGGGGTCCTTGCAGTCAGTAGGTGGCACTCACAGGCAAAATAAACTTGTGTGTCCCTTCCACCATCCTTAAACCCTGCTCTGCATCTTCCACGCCGTGGTCAGGGAGGGAGGAAAAGCGGGAGGAGCTGCAGCAGGAATTTGGGATTGGGATGTTTTTAGAAACGCTGGGTTTGTGCCATTCTCTCCCATCCTGCTCAGGAAAGCTTTTCCGTGGAAATTCAGAGGAAAATCCATCTTTTTTTTTTTTTTAAGGGTACAGTCAGGGTAGTGCTGACTCAGGTTGTGCAGCTGACTCTGGTGTGGGGATTTGGAATGGAATTCACAGTTTGTGGAAAATATCCCTTTCCAAACTTGGATTCTTTCTTCCTGCAGCGTTTGGTGGATGTGGAGGATGAGTCTGCTTTTAGGTTTATTCTGTTCTTCCTTCAATTTCTGCACACTCTCAGCTGAGCCTTCATTTGAGCTCAGATTTGTGCTCGGAGCTGCATTCCCCAAAACCCTCTCAGCGGTGCCCTGCAGGACTCCGAGATATTAAATCAGGAATCTCACCCTGGAGAATCCCCAGAGGAATCTCTCAAGTGTAAAAGGAGATCAGGAGCTTCACCTTGCCCAGCTCAGCTCTCAGGGCTGTGTTTTCCTCGTTCCCAGTGGTGCTGTCGGTGTTATCCCACTCCAAGCACTGTTTATCCACCAGTAAAATTCAGATTATTCTTCTCTGCTCGGTGCACTGGCTGATGTTGGTGTTGTTTTGCCTTGAACTTTCAGCCACCTTGTTGTGGCTCCTCTGCCTCTGTCAGTTCCAAGCAAAACAGAAATCCTTTAGAATTCCATAAACCGTCCATTGCTGGCAACTTTTATGAGTTTGAAGCTGAATTGCAAAGAGCTTTGAAGTTTAAGAGCGCCTGTAAACAAATCTTTATTTTTTCAGGTTTAAATGGAACATGCAATAATTCTAGTGTACCAACATCAACTTCAGAAATGCCAGATTATTTATTGTAAGTATGTTTATCAGTTGCTTTAAACCTTTGGGATCACGTTTCAAGCTAAAAAAAATCACAAAGTGCTGGGGATTTTTGTTGGACTTTTTGTGTTATTTGATAGAACTTTGTTAGGTGGGTGTAAGAAAAAGGATAAACCCAGCTCTGCAGATTTAATAGTTGAGACTAAACTTGCTATCAAAGCTGGTTTTTACCTCCTCAAGGAGTTCAAGGTTATCTCCTGTAAGTTTAAGTACTTGAAGAAACATTTCATACCTTAGAGGGGTTTGAAAGGATTAAACATCTCCACGTTCCAGCTGGAAACTGAGGGAGGGAATAATCTGCTTTTGTGTTGGGGAAGGCAGGGCAAGGAAAGATTTGGGGTGCTTTGCTAATTCTTGCCCTCTTCAGAGCCAAGCTCATCTCCATGAAGCAGTGAAATATTCTTTCCTGAAATATTCTAACCCCTGGGTTAGCATCTGAGTTGTTTCACCTCTTGACTCTTTTAATCAGATCCCCTCGAGGTTAATTAAACAAGCAAAGCCCCAAAAAAAAATCCCAGTGCAGGAAGCCCAGAATCTGCATAAACCCAAACCTGCTCTAAACAAAGCTTTGGGGTGGGGAAGAAGCCGTGGCTGGGGGTGGGAGGAAGGGAGGGAGGGAATTCCCTGTGCATGTCCCAGCCCTGGGGGTTGTTCCCATCAGAGCTGGTTTGGCTGTGCTGGGATCGCTGCGAGGGAAGGGATGGAGGAGGAGGAGGAGGAGGAGGAGGAAGCTCTAGGGCAGATAAATGTTTCTGCTGTGGTTTCTGCTTTGCTGGGCTGCCTCAGCCATACAAACAACGCCTTCAAGGTGACATCTTTAGGGTTATTCCAGGGAATTTGGGTGGCTGGGGGTGTTATTTTCTCTCACCCAGGGCCTTTATCTCCCCAGGGAAGGAACAGTTTGTGTTCCAGATGCACAGGCTGAGGGATTACAGGATCCTCTGGGACACGGGATCCCAGCTGGGATCAGCCTCTGGAGCTCTGCCCCCAGATTTTTGGAGTTTGGAGCACATAAAATACCTTAAATTGCAGTATTTTTCTGCAGAGCATCCACACACCAATGGGGGATTTGGGGCTTTTTCCTTTATATAAGTGAATAGGAGGAGGAGGAGGAAGCTCTAGGGCAGATAAATGTTTCTGCTGTGGTTTCTGCTTTCCTGGCTTGGATCAGCCATACAAACAGCACCTTCAGGTGACATCTTCAGGGTTATTCCAGGGAATTTGGGTGGCTGGGGGTGTTTTTTCTCTCTCACCCACGTGATGTTCCCTCCCCAAAAGGGGATATTGCAGCTCCTTGGGCTCTCTCCAGAGAGAAACTGGGAGAGGTTTCTGAGCTCTGGGAGCTCTGTGGTCTGACCCAGTGTGATCTGACTGCTTTGTGCCCAGCTCCTCAAAGTCTGAGACACATCACTGCTGTTTGGTGATTCTTTATCCTGTGTGGATGGTTCTGTACCCCAGCCCCTGGCAAGGAGTCACTTCTGGAAGTTTAGAGCACTTAAAAAGTTAAAGCACTGAGAGTTCCCCCTCAGTTTGAGGCCTAAATTGGCTTTTCCATGTCTGTGCACCAAGCTGGCCCTGCTGCAGCCAGAGCAGGGAGGCAAACTGGAGCCATCACCTGCCAAAAGGTGAGTTTTACCTTCAGAGAGGGCTGCAAATTCCAGCTTCAATGGCTTTTTATCCAGCAGAATAACTCCCAAAAGGCCCCCAAAAGCACATCAGTTCAACCTGAGCTCAGGACACCTCCAGTGTCTCCACAAGGTGCTGGAAATAGAGTTGCTGGTGGGGAAAAAAAACCAGAATAAAGCTCCTCACCATGGTTTCTTATGGTGCTCTTGCCACATAATCACCCTGCGAGCGTTTTGCAACGATGGCTCAATGCTTTTTGTGTTCCTTTCAAGACTCTTAGCACTGGAAGCATCGTATTCCTGCTGTTCCAGTGCCTGGCACAGATGCAGAACTCCATGTTCTGCGGGCCAGCAGGAGTCAGAGGAGCTGTAGCAGCACTATCTGAGTGTCCTCCTCCACCCCCAGCTGCTCCAGCCTTGGCTGTACCTGCTCATTCCACCCTATCTGGCAGAGATAGGAAGTTTTTGGGAGCAAACGTTGTTTGTTTAACAGGAGGTCAAGGCAACAATCCCTGCTGGTTGATGTCTCCGTAATTTGCTGCTTTAACACAAGTCAGGGTGAGAGGGAAGGGCCTCAAGCTGCACCAGGGGAGGTTTGGGTGGGATATTAGGGGGAATTTCTTCACTGGGACAGGGAATCACCATCCCCAGAGGGATTGAAGCCATGTGGATGTGGCACTTGGGAAGGTGGTTTAGTGGTGGCCTTGGCAGTGCTGGGGTTTGATCTTGGAGGGCTTTTCCAGCTGAAATCCCAGAATGGTTTGGGTTGGAACGAGCTGAAGCCCATCCAGTGCCACAGGCAGGGACACCCTCCACTATCCCAGGGTGCTCCCAGCACTTCCAGGGGTGAGGCAGCCATCCCAGACCCTTCACAGTGAAGAATTCCTTCCCAATATCCCATTTCGAGATGATCCTATGATCCTAAATCATCCACAGTTTTGTTCCCAGCCTCTTGGCAGTGGCTCTGATCCCCACCCTGTGCTCTGCACCGCCACATCCCAGAGAGAATTCCCCAAAAACCAAATCAATCCCCCCCCAAAACCCATTCACCAAAGCCTTTTTCCCTGCAGAAAATACGCAGCCATTTCCTCCTCGGAGCAGCGTCAGAGCTACAAAAACGATTTCAACGCGGAATACAACGAGTACAGGGACTTGCACGCCCGGATAGAGCGGATAACCCGACGGTTCACCCAGCTGGACGCCAAGCTGAAGCAGCTTTTGCAAGGCTCTGAGGAGTACAAGGTAGAAACAGAGCTAAAAAAGCCCAGGGAAAAGCTCCCTGTGCACGTGGCAGAGCTGCAGGGCTTTGATCTGCTCTCTTTGGGCTGAAATTGGGGAATTTGGGTGTCGAAATTCCAGCCTCAGGAATTCCTCAGCGAGGGGAACGTGCACACAGCTGACAGCTTTGGGGAATGCTCCTAACCCAGCTCTGTGCTGCTCCTTTTTCAGGCTGGAGCCACATCATGGGACTTGTTGACAAGGAAAGGCCTCAGTGAGACAATTGGTGTCCTTAGCCAAAAGCTGCTGGAAGCTATTAGTGTATCCCAGCCAGAAAAACTCATATTTGCACATATGGGAGCGTATCAGGGCTGGAAGGGGAGTTAGCACGGGGTCATCTGTTCCTCTGCAATCTTTGATCTTAATAATGCAGCATTATTGGACTTGTCAGAGTGATTTTTAAAAGAGTTTTAGCTATTCATTAGCTTGAAAAAGTGAGTCTCGTCGAGGATAATAAACAGATTTTTACAGAGCACCTATTGTGCTAAGCACAGCTTCCTCCCTCAAACCTCCTGCCCTTCTCCTTGCAAAATTCCTCCCTGGGTTGTTTTTAGATCTGGGTGGGGGAGAAAAAAAATGGGCTGGGGGCTTTGGAAATGTGAATTTTCCTGGAATCCAGGTGCTTGGCACAGGTAGTTCTCATGGCTCATCCTTCTCCAGGATATCTGTGGGATCCGAGCTGGGTGTACCCATTGGATCTGCCCAGGGAATCCCTGGAGGCAGCAGATTTTGGTTGGAATTTGGAGGAATTGTGTACATTGAGCCATCAGTAAATGCCAGCTGCAAAACTGAAAATAATTCCCTATTTTTATTTTTTTTTTTTCCTCTTTTATTTTTTTTTTTTTTTAGACCATCCACGATCAAATTTTACAGGAATATCGGAAAATTAAAAAGGTAAGGGAAACGTCCTTGGCCACAGAAGGCTTTTGGGTGGTGCCCCTGGTGTGACTGAAAGAGATGGGCCCTTGCCAAGAGCAAACCCAGGCTCTGAGGCAATTCCAGCAGATCTTTGTTCAGCTCCAGCCTGTCCCTAAAAGATCAGAGAGGGTTTGGGGGGAGCTGGGAGTGCCCCACGGGTCCTGGGGATCGCTGAGCCGTGGCCGTGGCACAATGGCTCTGCTCGCTCAGGGCCTTTATCTCCCCAGGGAAGGAACAGTTTGTGTTCCAGATGCACAGGCTGAGGGATTACAGGATCCTCTGGGATCCCAGCTGGGATCAGCCTCTGGAGCTCTGCCCCCAGATTTTTGGAGTTTGGAGCACATAAAATACCTTAAATTGCAGTATTTTTCTGCAGAGCATCCACACACCAATGGGGGATTTGAGGCTTTTTTTTTTCCTTTATATAAGTGAATTATTTATTTATTAGGATTGTTTATTATCCTGAGCCCTGTTGTCCTGAGGGATTCAGGAGCTCTTTGAAGGGATTCCCTGCGTGTTGGAAGTTCATCTTCCTTCCAGGGTCTCTGAGCTGGGGGCAGAGGGCAGGAGGTGATTGTTGGAAGCCCAGTTAGGCTGAGCCTAACTCAGGTGTGCTCCTTCCCTGTGAGGAGACACCTGGAGCTGGATAATGCTGAAAGGAGATTTTATCCTTGGCTGGGTTTGATCAGAGCAGGACTGATTCAAAGAGGGATCTAAAAGAGCTTCACTCTGTGGTTTTAAGCTGAAAGAGGGGAGGTTTAGGTGGGATGTGAGCAGGAAATCCTTCCCTGGGAGGGAATGGGGTGGAATTCCCAGGGAAGTGTTTGGATGGGGCTTGGAGCACCCTGGGCCGGTGGAACGTGTCCCATGGGATGAGATGATCTTTGCATTCCCCCCAACCCAAACCATCCCATGCTGCCTGACTCTGTGCTGCCAAGATTTATCCAGAACCTTTCCCACCTCTGCATTTTCATTCTTTTTTCTCACCTTTTGTTTTGCAGACAAACCCCAATTACAGCCAAGAGAAGAACCGCTGCGAATACCTCCACAACAAACTGGCCCACATCAAAAAACTGATAGCAGAGTATGACCAGCAGCAGTTTTAGCTGCCACTCACCCCTGGACTGGGTAGGGCAAACCAAAATCCAGTCACCCTGGACAGTTTAAGTTCCCTTTTATACACCCAAAATCCCTTTCAGAGACGAGCATTAATTCCTCGTGGTTGAAGAACTTGGGGATGACTTTAAGATGCCAGATCTGTCATGTCCACGTCCAGCACGCTCCTCCCGAGTTTTTAAGCCTCTCTGAATGTTGGAATGTAACAAAATGGATAACAAAAAAAAAAACACAAAAAAAAAAACCAAAACAAAACCCAAACAAACAGAAAAAAAACAAACAAACAAAAAAATTCTGCTTCTTTGAAGCCAGCGTTTGACACTTAAGGGAAAAACTTGCCTAAAGTGACCGAAGCTCCCAAAGGTTAAGAATCTGTAGCTTTCATGGATTAAAAGTTTGGCATGAAGTTGTAATTTCCCCCTGGCCCAGCTCCACGTGGGTTACAAATTGTCCTACAAATGGTGAGGAACTGGAATTGCTGCTAGGACTGTTTGGAATGAGAGCTGCGTGCTCCCGGCTCCGCGGAAATACACCAACGTTCCCTGAGCTCTCCTTGTCTGGCCCTGCTTTGTCATTGTCATCCTCGGGGGGTGGTGGTGGCAGCACAGGGGGGTCCCCTGGGGCTCAGCACCTTGCCCAGGGCAGAGGTGGATCCCAAAAAAACCAACCCCAAACCCCCTTCTTTTTATTTTATTTTTCCTTTTTGCTTTGTTCTGGTGCAAACCTCCTGCCCAGTTCACCTCCAGTGCTGGGAAGTTGAAGAACCCATCTGCTTTTGACTTTTCTAATTTTCTACCGAGGCAACCAGTTTTATTAATTGCTAATGAGACTATGGTCTATTTTTGTATCAAAAAAAAAAAAAATTAGGAAAGAAAAAAGCTTTTTTTTTTTTTTTCCTTTCTAGAACTGTGCCTCCCTTTTCCTTTTAGGCCAAGTGCTCGGGACCTTTTTTCTTTGCAGTATTACTAAAACTGACCCAAGAGTCACCCAGAGGAGTGACTTTATTCCTTGATCCATGAGAGGAGGGGGTGGGGGGGTGCTCTGCTCTCTCCTGGGATATTTTTTATTTTTTATTTTGTGTGTGTGTGTCTTTGCAAGGCAGCAGCAAATCCTTGTGAGAGCAGCAAGGTGCTGTTTTCCCACGCAGATCCCTTCCACTGGTGTGCTTTATCTCAGCCAGCTTCTCCCTGCAGTCCTGCTTCCTGATTTTTATTTTTTTTTTTTTTTTAATTCTTTGGATTGAAGGGAACGTTTTAGAGTATGGCCAGGGTGTGAGAAACACTCCAAAAAGCACAAAGGTGTCCTTTAACTCTGCTGTTCCTTTCTTTCTCTCCCCTCTCCCCTTTTTAATCCTGCCAGCCTGTGGGATTTGACTTCTTCCCGCTTCCGTTTATCTCAAAGTAAAGGATTCCTTCCCTGTGGAGTCTCCTTCCCTTGGAGGTTGCACTGAAGAGCCTTTCACCCTTTGAAGGAGAGGAATGGCAGAGTTAAGGAGGGAAACACTTCTTCAAACAAGGAGTAACTTGGAGGTTTTTTGGTTTTTTGGTTTTTTTTCCCCCTGCCCCAAACGAATCGTGGGTCCATCTGCTGTATTAAAAAATAGGAGATAAAACGATTAATAATTATTATTTTTATTATTATAATTTCATTGTTGTCACACAGCCAGGGCCACTGCTTTTTGCTTTGTCACTTTATTCTGAGGTCTCTCCCTGTGCATCCAGGGCTTGACCGTCCCCTTCTCCCAGGGAAAGGTGGCAGCCAGAGGGACACGGTGGCCCTGGGGACGCCACTGGAATTCCACCAGTCTCCCACTGGTGCTCAGCCCCAAACCCCTGGAGAAGGAGGGTGGGAAGAGATTCTGTGCCCAAGGAGCGCAGGGGGAGCACCCCAGAACCCCCCCAGGGCATTCCTGCTGGGAACCCCGGGGGTCAGGAACGCTTTGCTCCCGTCCCTCCCTTCCCCAGATCCAACCCCGAGCTCGCCACCTGCCTCTGGTGCTTCTGGAAAATGCTGGGAGTTTCTGTCTGGAGAACTTGGTGGGGCTCCGTGGGGTTCCTGCCGGGAATCGCGCGCGGGGGGAGCCCTGGGGATCCGGGAGGGGACGAGGAGAAGCTGGGATGTCCCAAATCCTCAGCCCCGCTCCGGGCTCGTCGCTGCACAGCCCAGCACCTGCCCAGCTCCACCACTCTGGGCTGCAAAAACTGAATTTCCCCGGTGCTGGGGCTTCGTTCCGGCTGCGGAGGAGGCGGAACTCGGGATGGCAGAAGAGGCAGCAGCTACAAACCCAGGATGAGTAAATTCTTCCATGGAAACACTTCTCCTGATCCTTAATATTTTACAAGGAGGAGTGTTTGTTGTTTTTTTTTCTTTTTTGTTGTTGTTGTTGTTGCTTGGGGAGGGGGGGATAGAGATGGATCTCAATCTTTATACATCTGCTATAAGATATTTTTGCAAACAGAGTTGTATACAAAGATGTATTGTGTACATTTACATGTATATTCTGGAACTTCTAAAAAATTTGAATATAAAAAAAAAACCCTGAAAATATTTAATGAATTATCCAAACTGTGAGACCCAATTAGCATCCACCAACTTCCTGCTTCACTTTTCTTTTGGACTGTGTTAAAGAATTGTAGTCGAATCTGCCTTTTTATTTTTCTTTTTTTTTTTATTTTTCTTTTTTTTTTTTTTTTTTCTTTTTAGAGACGACGAAGCTTAGGCAAAATTTTGTGCTTTTTGGGTTAATAGAAACCAGTTCTAGGTGATTAAGTATGATCTTAACTTATTGATACTGTGTTTTACTTTGTAATATTGTACTGTGGATAAAAAAACTATATTGAGCCATGGAGTTGGAGTTTACAAAAGAGCTTTTCACTTTGCCAAAATGTTACAATTTCAAGGCAGCATAGTCTTCAGCTTTCCTAATCTTTTTTCTTAAGAGCTAGTGTCCTTTTTTTGTACACTAAAAAAGCTGAATGCTGATTTTGCAACATATAATAAATTCACTGTATTGGAAAACAAGCAGACAATAAGGTTGTGGATTTCTTTTCAATGCTTCTCCCTGCAAGGAAACTCAAAAGGGAAAGGTGATAAATGGCTGGCGTGGAGCTTGGAAGCAGGAAACGGGAAGGAAGCGGGTCACTGGAGTGAGCTGAAGTGTCAGAGCAGGGAGTAGGTGAGAAAAGGGAGAGGGGAGAGGTGTTTGCAGCGGGCCAGCTCCTTGGAGCGCCGCGCTGGGCTCGGCCCCCAGCCCTGGCACCAGCTGGGGGCTTCCCACTGCAGCCCCCGCCGGGATTTTGGAGGAAAAGCGGCTCTGGAAGAGGCTCTGGATGCTGCTGGAGGCTCAGGGATGCTCTGCTGCGGGAGTGTGAGGCTCAGCCCGGCGGTGCTGCTGGAGCTGGGGATGAGCTCCCACCTCCTCCCACCTGGCTGAACCATCCCAAAAAAGCTCGGGATGCAGCCGGGCTGGGGCTGCCTTCAGCAGCATCCCTGGGGCTGCGTGCAGCAGGCAAAATAAAATCATGGATAAAACCACTCAGGAGTGGAATGGCCTCTCGGAATCGCTGCTCTGTTCCTGCTGCCTCCCTCCTGGAGCAGAGGGTGACAAACTCGGGGCTGGAGGCCACAGGTGCTGCACTCCCTGTGTCCAGAACCAGCTTGGCTTGAGTCCTGGGTTCGGGATTGTCCCTCCAAAACAGCAAGCTAGGGAGAAGGTGACAATAATCCAAGGGTCAAATGACGTTTTTGCAGAGTCTTGGTTTATTTTTTAAAAGGTGTCCTTGTCCTTGTAGCTGACACGGCAGCACCTGCACAGGGGGACAGAGCAAGAGCTGAGCCCAGGCTCCTGCAGATCCCCAAATCCTCCAGTTTTAGTTCCAGAGGTGGCTTCTGAGCCAAGCTCTGCACCCCAGGCCCGCTTCCCACCCTCTGCGAGCTCCAAGGCCGGCTCCTGCCCCGCGGGGACGCTCGCACAGGAAGGGTCCCCATCCCCTCCCAGCTTTCCTGGGGAATTCCTCCCAACCGCTGGCAGCTCCGGCTCTGCCCGGGGTCACGCATTGAGCTCATTAACTCGGAGCTGCCCCAGTGGAAATTTACTGGCTGCGTTTGCTGTGCCAGAGCCAGCCGGGCTCTGCCGCCGCCGCCGCCTCCTTATCGGCCCCGCCGGGAGCCGGGAGCGCCGCTCCGGGAGCATCCCCGGCTCCTCCCGGCCGCCCAAAGCGAGCTCCGGAGGAGCCCCGCGCTCCGATAATTCACCGATAACTCAGGTCACGCTCGGGAAAAGTCGCTTTGCACCGCATCTTGCGCAAACCGCCCCTAATTTGGGGTCACGCAGGCGTGGGAAGGCCCTGGCCGGCTCTCAGGGATGCTGGAAACGCGGTGACAGCGCTGTGGGGTTTTCTCCCCGTGGGTTTTTAACCCTGTTGGGCTCCATGGGTGTTTTCCTCTGTGGATTTTTCCCCGCCGTGGGTTTTTTCCCCCTGGGCACCTTTCGCCGCTCGTGGCTCGTTTACAAGAGGAAACTCATTAGAATAATTTGTCCTCGCCACGGTCCGATGGCTCTGGTCCCTCTCCCGGAGCAGCTGCTGCACCTCCAGCGCCGGGCACGACCCCCGAAATCCCCCTCCGCTCCCTCCCTGGCAGGCGTGGGCCCGACCCTGGGCCCGCAGCGCCCGGCCGGCGATGGCCCAGGGAGAGGGAGGAGGATGAGGAGGGAGGAGGATGAGGAGCTGCCAGCGGGGATAATGAAGGGCCTGGGATTGTGTTACACCAGGGGAAAAAACCCAACTGCGGAGGGAGGAAAACGTGGCAAGGGAACGCTGAGGCACAAATGTGGGGCTGGCGGGGATGTGGGGGGAGACAGAGGCAGGACCCCCCCCACCCCCAG